TACCAAATAGTTTCTCTAGTGTGAGAAACTGAAAGTGTAAATAAGGATTAAAACATATAATAGGTAATGTGAAATAGGAAGAAAAGGGGCAAAGGGGAAGTTGGAGGGGTAGGGGAAAGGATAGAAGGGAATGGAATTAATGTGAGAAAATGAAAAAATGTAACAAAATCTTTGTAAATAGGAAGGGATGGAGGGGTTGAAGGAAGGGCAGGGCCATGGGGAAATAATAAGAACCAAGAGAGATTATGTAAAGGTGCAAATTTCCAATGATGAATGTCATTATCTTGTATTCCTAAAATGTACCAATAGAATTAATTTTAAAAAATAAGAGAAACTTACGAGCTGTAAAATTACTAGTTACTAGAAACTTGTTTCATTAAATTTAAGGAATTTCTTCCTACCATGACTGATTTTTAAAAATTAATCAATTTTTAAAAATTAATTTTAGGCTGGGGGTTTAGCTCAGTGGTTCCGCTGCCTACCTTACAAGAGCAAGGACCTGAGTTCAATCCCCGGTACCATAAAAGAAAAAATTAACTTGAAAAAATTACTGCTTTTTAATTCATTTTGATTCACTCTAATTCAGTTTAATTATATTTTCATATTGTTTCTTTTTGTGTAATATGCTTTTAAGTATTAGAATACTGTGTTCTTGCTCGTACTGAACTTTGTTCTGTTATTGATGAAGTATTTCCCACAGTGAACATTATAGTTCTGTCTTCTCAATTGATGAACATTATCTAGCTTGATGTCACTCATGAAAAATGCAGTGAACAGCTTATTGACTTTCAAAGACTTGGGGATTAGGGTTGAAAGTATTGAATAAGAGTAAGCTTTGTAGATATCGGTTCACTTTCTCTTAGTTTGACATATGACTCTAATTTTTGGTGATAAAAGTATCACCATATCATTCTTAGTTTGGATGTCACCACTTGGCTGGAAGTTCTTTTGCTCAGTTCAGATGGAAATCATGAATTGGCAGTGAACCTCCCTTGATGGGCTCTGGGCTCTGAATGCCAGTGACTCTCTTAGCCCTTATTGTTAGAGCTCCAAGCTTTGCATGCTTGTGCCTCTTAGCTCTTACTATTACAGCTTTAATCTTACAGCTTTTGGTGTTATAGCTGTTGGAGCCTTCCAGCTGCCCCTGTTAGCTCCTTGGCCTGTACTCCTTTGGTAGCTTTCTGGTGCTCTTTCTGCAGCTTCCTATCCAGGTCTCCCTGCTCTTGGCTCTGCTGCTCTGTCATTCTCTGAACTCTCCAGCAGTCCTCTGGCTGTCAGTCACTGTCAGAGCTGATAGCCCTTTGTGTTACCAAGTCTTAGTGGAACCCATCCAGTAGGTCGTAAAATTACCCAACAAGGCTTTCTTGGGGCCTGTGTGCAGAACAGAAGGCCAGAGCACAGGAGGGAGCCCACCTGTACTGACCCAAGAAGTGCAAGGGACGCTGCTTGTGTAGGGAAGGAGCAGTCCGTGGCTGACCTATTCTGGGACTTTGGAAGTAATGGCAGAGGAGGCAGTCATCTCCAGAGTGCATGCAAGATGGAGGGATTTGGGATAGGGCCATGTCTGAAGCTTGCTGTACCCGAGGCACACATCTCCTGGATGGCTTTAATAGGGTCAGGGAATAACCAAGTTTAAAAACAAGGTCAACTACACCAGAAGTAAGGTGAATGAACACTTGTTTAATACTTGTTGTATTACCAGGTGCTTATTGGATGTTTTACTTGAAATACTGAATTTAGTCCCTACATATGATAGGAATGCCTCACTTACTGAGGAAGAAATGGAGAGTAAGTCACTTGCGTAGGTCAGTGTTTCCCAAATGTTTCTGACAATTCCCCAGGAAGTTACTTAAAACACAGCTTCCTAGACCCTAACCCAGACTCCTGAGTTCAAATGTCCAGGAAAGAGCAGAATAGCTAGTTCCAACCTTTAGCAAAGTTTGGGAAATGATGACCTAGGGGAACATAATAAGAATAAATTACAGAGCAAAGATTAAACTAAATCTGTTGTATTATAAAGGCTGTGTCAGTAGTATTGAAAGCCATTGCCTAGGAATTTCGATTAGATTATGTATGCAGTAGAAAACTATTGAAGGTTGAAAGAGGACTGATAATTAGACATGACTGAACTGAGGAAGAGTCAGAGGCAGACTGAAGTGAAGGCCGTTGGAAGGTTAGTATTTTATACAGGAAAGTGTGTATAAGAGTCTGATTCTTAACCAGACTTTAAAATGCTGAGTTTTAGTATCTGGACTTTTATTGCTGGCTACTACAGATGCTATCGAAGACTGTTTGTGTTTATAAGAATTTTACTATTACTAGACATCTTCAAGAAGAGTCAACAAAATTTGAGTCCTTGGGGATTTCCCTTAATTCTGTCTATGTTCCTCAATGGACAGAGAAGACTTACAAGTATTAAATGACACATATTTATCTCATAGAAATATAATTAATTTATGGGAATAAAAATGGGATTTATGCTGGAAAGTTATGTCACATGAAAAATTAGTAAAAAAAGTCTTTGAAGTGAGTTTATATTTTATTATGTCCCTTATGAGGGTTGGACTAACTTAACTATAAATTTCTATGTTTTAATTCAGTAAACTAGAAATAAGTTCCTTTTTTTTTCCAAAATGATTTGTGGAAAACATTTATTAGTCAAGGTAATAATTGGATTAGCATTAACTCTATTAAATCTTTACTCTTCAAGAAGCAATAAGGGGCCGTCTGCCCCGGGCCAGCTGGTCTTAGGATCCTGCTAAGCCTCCCGAGGAGCACGTGCCCACCGTCTTCGACCACTACGCCGTCAGCGTCACTGTGGGGGGCAAGCAGTACCTCCTGGGACTCTGACATGGGGGACAGGAAGACTGTGGTCATCCGAGGCCTTTGTCCTAGCCAGTGATCGATGTCTCCCTCGTATGCGTCTCCATGGTCAGTCCAGCCTTGGTTCAGAATGTGAAAGAAGAGTGGGTATGGAACTTAAGGGATCTGCACCAGATGTACCCTTTCATTAATAGGAGGAACTCAGACTGATCTCCGGGATGACCCCACACTTTAGCGAGGCTGAATGGTATGAAAGAAAAACCTGTATGTGTGGAACAAGGACAGAAACTAGCTAAAGAGAGAGGAGCACGCTGCTATGTCGAACATGCAGCTTTAACCCAGAGGGGATTGAAGACTGTTTTTGATGAGGCTATATAGCCATTTTAACTCCAAAGAAACATACAGTTAAAAAAAGAATAGGATCAAGATGTATAAACTCTTGTTTGATTATGTGAAAAACAACTTCAGTGGCCAAGAAAACTGTCAGTTTCTCTCAGAAAGCATACGAAATGCTACAGTGATACCCAGACCTCTTGTAATGAAGCAGTTTCAAACCTGAAAGAAAACAAAAACCTGTCCTCAGAATTCTATAAAGTCCATTAAGAATGTTCCTTGAAGGTCTAAGAAGCAGCAAACAGAATCTGAAGCCACAATCTATTATAAATACTTTATTTCATCTAGAAGGTACAGTCTCTCAGGGTTTTCATAGTTTAAAAAGCTACAATCACATGTTGAAGCTACATTAAAAAAAAAACAACAGTGCTGTAAACGGGACTGCTTGGCTTTGACCATATACATTTCTGCACAGCCCTTACGGAATCTGCACAAAGAAATATCTTCTCCCTTTGCTCCAGTTAGTTGTTCTTGTATGTAAGTTGCTTTCTATTCCAGTATATCCAGAGTGGTGAAATAACAAACCCAGCCACATAGCCAAAGGTTGCTCCAAGTGTACAGGAGATGGGCCTTACCTGAAGACACAATGTATGAGATCAAAACCAAACAAACGTTTATTATTACCTGAGCACAAGTTAAATGTAAACTAAATATTTCTATACTAAAGCTTAAAATGCTTTCTTAAAGAATGCCAAAAGTGTAATAAGGTCATAACTGCATTTATCATTAACACTAAAAATGTACACAGTTAATGTGCATTAAACTGTAACAAGACTTCTGACAATTGTAGATTTAGTTTGATGCTCCCCACATTTTATGAGATACATGCTAAATTACAAATTAAAATTTTGGGTCAGACTTTGCCATAATCATGGACTCAATTTAGCTCTCTGAATTAGCTGGTAATTTAAAAAAAATTCCTACATTGGCTGTATACATCAAATGATGAGAACTGTGTATGCTGACCAAAACACAAGAGAACATTGATTTATGTTAAAGAGGCAAGACCTAGAATCTAAGCATGTTACATGAAATTTAAAACAGAGCAGCTGCTTCTGTAATAAAACTGTTGTCACCTTTCAGATACAGATATCACACCTATAGCAGAAGTTACAGAACCACAATTTATGTACACTCTCAGAATGTAAGTTAAACAGAATACTGCTGGCTTCCTATTCTCTCCAGTTGTATTACAGTTCACAATATTCCATTAAGCCAGAAGGAGATAATGTTGATTTAATTAACCCCGGGGCAGTATGTATTTGTCCCAAGGTGAAAGGCTCTGCTGAAAAAAAAAAAAAAATGGAAACAATTTTTTCATGTTCATCTGTGAAGCTTATGTGGTACTGGAGCCATTTCTCATCATCATCTGAGGAACAGACCTTAGGACTGTTAGAGGTGAACATTCTCAATGACTGGTCCTGTTACCTAATCTACCTTCTTTGTTTGGTCTGCTGTGGATCTGCCATGTTCCAGATCCCACACAACAGATGGTAGTGCTAGACAAAGTGTGAGCCACCTAATGCAGTTTAGAGATTCATAATCTAATCCCTAATTTCCCCTAGCCTTCCTTACATTTAACTTGCTCTTGCCTAAGTTATGATTTATTTTTGGTAGGCTTCTGTTAATTTTTATGATTTGTACTGACAGCTATGTGTATTGCACAGATTGGGTAATAGAACACCAAACACTTATACTTGAAAATGATAGCCTTAAGTGCTCATATCAGTCACAAATCTAGGATGTACTGCCTTTGTATGTGAGCTTTGTAGAGATTTTTAAAAATACAAGCATCATCTTCCCCATTGAAGAGTGGAGAGTCTACTGGATAACTAGTCAGAAGCTTTCTTTCAGAACTGGACAGTGGGTATCTTCCTTCTCTCACGAAATGGTGGTTCACACTATTATGGCCTTATGTATGGTAAAATGGAATCTCCTCTTTCTCATTTAATTGTGGTCTGTTTTTAGGTAGACTTGAAGGAATTGTATAAATCAATTAACATATTATCTGAGTTGTCCAACACATGGTATAAAAGAATTAAAACAGTAAAGTATTATACATTTCCTAAAAAAAAACCAATAAGGGAGAACATTTATTTACACATCGGTCTGATCCCTCTACATTTGACTTTCTACCTTTTCTGAGATCATTGAAAAGTAATGTAAAGATTGTGCACGGTAGATTGAAATGGTAATAAAAATAGCCTTGAAGTATGTCTTACATGGAAGTTAGTGGCTTAAGGTAGCTGTTTTTATCTTGTTGTATATTGTCTCTGTGTCTTACCGATGCCTCATCTAGAATTATAAAAAGTATTACTAAACATTTCTCCTCATTTCTGGGTAGATGATAGACTGACAGCATACTTGGGTAGCTACAGAGGATCTGAATTTAAAATTTTCTTTGGCAAATTGATAGTTGAGAGAGCTTCATATGAAATAATGTACCTTGTTTGTTTTCTGATGAAGTTTGTCCGACTTAGTTCACTGTGATGAGGGAACCAGAATAACTGCTCAAACAGAATCGTTTTACCTTTCCCAGTGTATTGTTTTTACAGTTCATTCGTTCCCTGAGATAGTCATACAGTGGACCCTTGACTTTCCAACTCAGTGCACTCATGAGGATTGGTTGTAACTCATGGTCAGTTGAAGGCTCAGGCTCCTCTGCACAGCCTTCAAAGCTTCTCAAAGGCAGATCTCAGTGTCCTTAGAGAGACATCGGCCCAGGATTTCTCAGTGAACCCCACACAGGAAAGGATGCTGTCATGTTCCTTCCAGAACTCTCTAAGGGTTAAATCTGTATCTGAGACCATCTGGAAGCACAAGCAGCCGACATTTGGCTCATAACTCAAGACTTTAGTCACAAGTTAAAACTAAAATTCCTGTCATAATCCAAGTTGTCCGTGTGTCAGGCTGGTCATAAGTCGAGTGTCCACTGTGATTGTTTTTCACATTTCAGAATTGCATGTTTAGCTTTATTCATGAATGCAAAGGTAAGTTAAAGGAAATGTTGATCATATTAAGCAGGGTTGAAAGTACTGGTTTTGGTGGAAAACTTTCTATAGATAAGGTGGAAAATTGATGTTTTGTATCAAAATTACTTAAATATAACCGGAAGTGTTTAGGATTGTGTATTTAAAAGTATAACATCCATCCAGGTGATGTGTTGGATACTTAGTTTTCATTTAGCCGGACTCGTATTTCTTAACTACTTAAATTTTAAATTTATCAAATTTTTAATAGGTCATTTGCACATAAGGTGCCTAGTTTGTCATGTAGTTTTATAAGATGTTGCTATTGCTTTTTCCAAAGTAGTAGTGAACATCAGCCCATTTTTCGATTTTGCATTATGAATAGAATTATCAACAGAGTCCTCAGTTATTACTTGTAGTTGATTGCTGTACTTTTTAAAAAAATTGGACACTGAAATTTGAAAAAGATTTTCAGGAATTTCACACAACCCATTGTCTCAGGGTGGGGAGGGTGGCATCGATGGGGTGATTGACAAGTGAGAAGCAAATGCTCTGACTTGTAACTCATGTTGTTTTAAGTTAAAAGGTTTGTGGAGGCAAGGCAAAATACTTCAAAGCTTCTGTAGTGCCTTGCACATATTAAAAATTTCTACTTCTTGATTTAGAACTTTTCATGGGTTAGGAAAAGTTGCACTTTGCTAATTTTTATAACCTAGAGTTGCTGGTAAAGGAGTTAATCAATACTGTTATTAAGCATTGCAAAAGAATTTGGAAATTGAGCATTTCTGTGATTGCTTCTTCTATAGAAATACTGTTGTTTTCTTTTTCAGACAATTGAAATCTTTAAGGACTTAGCATTTTGAACCTTTGTTTATTGAGGAGCCAGGGAAGAAGAAAAAGCAGTGAAAGTATGAGATTGGATGTGCTGTGATGAAAGCCTAAGAATGTTGTTTTCCAATTTCTGACTAGTATAAAGATTTTTTATTGACTGTCCTGTTTTTATTTTTATTTTTATTTATCTATTTTTTGGTACTGGGGATCGAACTCTGGTCCTTGCGCTTGTGAGGCAGGCGGCAGAACCACAGAGCTAAATCCCCGGCCGACTGTCCCGTTTTTAAAGGGCTTGTTCTTGCACAAAAAGTAAGATCCTTATGGTAATTAAATTATAAATATTCTGTGTTTAAAATGGCAGAATTAGTTGATAGGTTGTCATTCATGTTAAACAGCAGTTAAGTAATGGCTTCAAATCTTTGAGATTTTTACCATCATTTCTGTTTGCCATTACTCTCCTGTCATTTTTTCCCTTTTAAAAATATGTATGGTTTCTTATTTCTGTGGGATAAAAATCAAGTCCAGTTTCTTTATCAGAGCACAATAAGGCTTTTGTAATTTAATTTCTGATTACCTTTTCTGATTCCATTGCTTATGTGACTCAGTGCCTTGTGTATGAGGGGTGAGGGATACAGTACTACAGTAAAAGACACATTTCCATTAATCCCCCTCACAATATTCAAACACACCCCATAGTTCTTGCCATTTTCTGAAGCAGTTCTGGAAGTCGTCTTCCATGTGTTTTCAGTTGTGCTGTCATAGCTTTCTCAAAGTCCTGAATCGATTCAAATGTTCACCTTTCATCATCATTTTGACTAGAGAAGAGCCAAAACTGCATGGTGCCAGGTCCGGTGAATGTGGATGCGGACTCAACATAATGTTTTTAGAAGCCTGCCCTTTTGTTGGATAGAAAACAGCAGAAGCACTCTATATTTTTTATCACATCTCATAAAAAAACATGAAAGAGGACTCAGAACTGCTTCAGAAAGTGGCAAGAACGAGGAGAAAAGTGTGCTCAAAGCGATGGAGTATTTTCAGGGGGGTTAATGGCAGTGTGTCTTACTGTATTCATGCTTTGAAGTTGATTCATAGTATGTTCTCATCACATTACTTATGTCTCTGCCTGGACTCCCTCTCTACACAGCATTTCTTGCACCCCAAACTTTATCAAACCTGTTCATTCATCTCTCTTTCTCTCGTTACTTATAGTATCTTAACACACCTGGATTATTGCATATTCTGAATATCTGCTTGTATGTGTGTTTCCTTGTTTAACAGACAGTGTATGTCTTACTCATCTTTAGATGTCTCCATACTTGGCACTCTATGTGGACCTTGGTGTATATTTAATGCTTATCTGAATCCATAAGGTGGACATTCCAAACATCAGTGTTTAAGTTCGGAACATCCAGTGCGACAAACCTTGTCTTTTCTCTTGCCCCCCTTCAGATCAGCATTATGTTCATATCATTTTCTCCCTTGGTTTTATATGACTAACTTTTATGGAGTTTTAGTGATTACAAAATTTTTTGTGGGTTAATTTTTCCCACTCTTGAGTTTTGTAAATTCCTGCAGGAAAGAAAATTTAGACTAAAGGTTTACCTGAGTGATTAAGAGCATGTAATTAATAAGGAAGACTAAGAGTCAGGTTTTTTTTTTTAATTTCTTGTCTGGCATTGGTTTAACTATGTAACAACTGCCTCAGCTCAAGTTATCCTTTCTCCCCTGGCTGACTGCAGCTTTTCATTGTGTAGTTCTTTTTTTTTTTTTTTTTTTTGGTACCAGGGATCAAACTCCGGTCCTTGGCGCTTGCAGGGCAGGCAGCGGAACCGCTAAGCTAAATCCCCGGCCCCATGTAGTTCTTTTCAGTGTGCTTCTTCAGGCCTGATCTCTAAGTACATGGACAGAATTTTTATATATTGCCAAGCTAGGTATGAGTACATGTTTTTTAAAAAGTTTTGATCAGATAGTCTAGCTTAGTATCACTTAAATATTTATTTAATAATACCATGTTGTATTCATGTTATTATTTGAAAAACATACTCCTTTTCTTAGAGAATGTTGCTAAATTCTGCATGGAAGTGTGTGGACAAGCCAGAAGTGGCCTGTCTCCTCCTTTACAAAGCACACCTGCCTTGGGGAGGGCAGACATCACAGTACTCACGGGAATAAATGCTGCATTGCAGTTCTCATTAAGAACGAGGAGTGCATGGTAGGAGTTAGTGGACAGGATAGTAGCCTTAGTCTGGAAGCCTTCTCGAGAAGGGTGAAAGGAGAGTAGTCATGTGCCCCCGAGAAAGGGAAGATGAGGATGGAGTGTTCCATACAGAGGAATCCTGTTCCTGGGGGGAGTAGCCCCTCTGGGTAGAGGCCTGATCCAGAGAAGTCTGCTATGAACCGAGGCTAGGGTGTAATAGACTCTTTAGAGATTTTGGTCTTTATCTTAAAAATCAACTTTTAAGTAAGGAGGAAGGCTTATGCAGTGGTGGCTAGGGAAGGCTAGAGATAATAGTAGGCAGGTTCAGGGGATATACTGGACAAAATTGATATGTAGGAGGTAAAACATACTGATGATTTGGATGAAAAGGAATAGGAAAAAGGCATTTTCTGGGATGGTTTTTTGGCTTCAGTAACAGTGGTATTTTCCTGGGGGCTGCTTTAGAAAGCAAGAAGGAAGCAGGTTATGAGGGGTTTTTTGGGTACCTTTCAGGTGTCCTCCATTAAAAATATAAATACAGGTCTTTGGTGAAGGGAGAGGTCTGGATTAGTGACACCAATTTGTGCTACTTTTATCAAGCTAATGATTGAAGTCATGGCTATAGATGAGGTCATCCAAAAGAGTACAGGGAGATGAGAAAATAGCTTAGAAAAGTAAAAAAAGACAAGAAAAACCCATTTGTGTTTCAGAGAAGAAAAGGTCATGTGTGACAGAAATGACTGGTTGATCCAGTGTTGCAATGACATACAGCAAGACTCAGGAACTTCTTGGGTTTTGGCTTTAGTCTTAATTTTGTATGGTCTACGTGCCAAGTATCAAACGTATATTAATTTATGGCAAAATTGCTAGCAGTGTCCTGTAAGGCTACAAAATTGTTGCTGGCCATAACTGTAACCTGAGTGACTGTTTTGTTTGTCTTTCCAATTGATTGTAAAGTCGTCTAGAATGGATCGAACATTTTTAAATGCTTCACTTATGTTTAGTTCTCTGATAAATTGTGTCTGAGCAGAAATAGTATATATAGCTTATTTTGTTTAATATTTTTGTGGTTCATTGCTTCCTACAAACAAAAAGTGAAGACACACAAGAATCAAAAAGATTTTCTATATAAATTGATTATGTCTTTTTTTCTCATTTAGGATGGCTGGCTGTGGTGAAATCGATCACTCAATAAACATGCTTCCTACGAATAGGAAAGCAAACGAGTCCTGTTCTAATGCTGCACCTTCTCTGACTGTTCCTGAATGTGCCATTTGTCTGCAAACATGTGTTCACCCAGTCAGTCTGCCCTGTAAGCATGTTTTCTGCTATCTGTGTGTAAAGGGAGCTTCATGGCTTGGAAAACGATGTGCCCTTTGTCGTCAAGAAATTCCTGAGGATTTCCTTGACAAGCCAACCTTGTTGTCGCCAGAAGAACTCAAGGCAGCAAGCAGAGGGAATGGCGAATACGCATGGTATTACGAAGGAAGAAATGGGTGGTGGCAGTATGATGAGCGCACTAGTAGAGAGCTGGAAGATGCTTTTTCCAAAGGTAAAAAGAACACTGAAATGTTAATTGCTGGGTTTCTGTATGTTGCTGATCTTGAAAATATGGTTCAATATAGGAGAAACGAACATGGACGTCGCAGGAAGATTAAGCGAGATATAATAGATATACCAAAGAAGGGAGTAGCTGGACTTAGGCTGGACTGTGATGCAAATTCTGTAAACCTAGCAAGAGAGAGCTCTGCCGACGGCGCGGACAGCATGTCAGCACAGAGCGGAGCATCTGTCCAGCCTCCAGTGTCCTCTGCTGTGAGGCCCCTGACGTCAGTGGATGGGCAGTTGACCAGCCCTGCCACACCATCCCCTGATGCAGGCACTTCTCTGGAAGACTCTTTCACTCATTTGCAACTGAGTGGAGACAGCATAAATGAGAGGAGTCATAGGGGAGAAGGAGAAGAAGACCATGAATCTCCATCTTCAGGCAGGGCGCCAGACACCTCCATTGAAGAAACCGAGTCAGATGCCAGTAGTGATAGTGAGGATGTATCTGCAGTTACTGCACAGCATTCCTTGACCCAACAGAGACTACTGGTGCCCAATGCAAACCAGACAGTAGCTGATCGATCAGGAACTGACCGGTCAGTAGCAGGGGGTGGAACAGTGAGCGTCAGATCCAGAAGACCTGATGGACAGTGCACAGTAACAGAAGTTTAAATAGATTCTTCAGCTCCGTGCCCATGGTTGGATGGTTATCTGTAAATTTCTGCCCACATAACATTATACTTATGCCTAGTAGTGCATTTTGGGAGATGGGTGGGAATGGGTCTGGGAAGGATAAAGCTGAAAAATTAAATGTCTAACATGTCTCTATTGAGAAATAATTATTTAATGTAAGGAACTTGGCTAATAGTTGAGACCTGTTTAGTAATAACCCAGGTTTCTTGACATCTGCTTTCTTTATAGTTTTTAAAAAAAAATTTCTTTAGTTTTTTTGGCCAGTGTGTGTATATTATCTGTGCATTAATGGTCCTCACCTGACTGGCATTGTTATTTTTCTGCATGGATTGGCATAAAAGTATTATTAAAATTTGGCACCTGTGATGTTGGTATCATTATGAGCAGGAAGCTTAACGTAATGTGGAGATAGATGTGAATTTGGTTTAAAAATAGAAGAGTAACACCAATTTTATAGTAAAGTTATTGAAATGGAAATGTAAAGAAAACAGCTAATAACTTTTGATTTGAGAATCTTTGTAACACACTTCATGGCATTCCTTCCCATAAGCTTTGCTGTCTAGCCCTTGTAGTCTGAGGTTTCTCGTCTGCATTTTTCTTTTGGATTAAAAAATTTATAATTTAATAAATAATAGTTTGTCAAAAATAAATGTCTCTGGTTTGAGTCTGAAAGAGGGGTGGATGTATTCTGATACTTGTGATCAAAGGTTATTTAAAAGGTCAAGGTTTGAATTGACTAGTCAGCTTAGTCACCTGCTCAGTTCAGTTTCTTCATAGAGAATTCTTAAACAGTATGTGCAAACAGCGTGTGTGGAATAAATATTGAAATGCACCTGAACAGCCTATGAGTCTTCTATTTCTCAAATAGTTGATACTGGCAATTTTTCTTTGCAGTGTTCATTAGTGGTCTTACACTTGGTACACGGTACTTACTTATAAACAATTAATAGGCATGAATTCACTTTACACATGTAGATTAGAAAACCGACTTTTATTGGGCAGTTTTTATATCTGGGCAAGGCAGAAAGTATTAGGTTAACATGGTAATCTAGAATTTGTCTGTAAAAGACTAAGTCCCTTCTTAGGGCAGAATAATAAAAGCATATCCCAGTTATTTTACGATAATTCTCAAATGTGAAATAAATGTTACAACAGCAAATAAAGACAAACTCACTGCTTTGAAATGTGGTAGGTGAGGATTGGGACTTCTTTGAATTACATGTTTTTAAAGAATTACTGGGATGATCATAAAGGTCTGAATTGTGCATTTTTAGTAAATTTATTTTAAAAGCTAGTTGTAAAAGTTGATGTTTTTCAGAAAAATGAAATATTTAAAATGCTAACTTGTTGTAGGATGCTTGCTTCATGAATCTTCTGAATTTCCATCTTAAAACTATTAACAGTACAGTTACCAGCTTGGTAAGTCCTGGGACTGCAAACAGTGAATTTGTAGTGTCAGTTGATGTTCTCTACATGGCTATTACTAGTAGAAAATTTAAAACAGAAATTTACAATTATTGAAAAGGTAAGGCTCCAAATTTGTAGGGGGTAATGGGGATGCATCTTTTTTTTCTCTCACATGGAACAGAAGAAAATGACATCATACCTCCCCCATGTTCTTTAACTGCAAGGTTCCTTAAGACCGTTTTTGTAAATTATTACCAAGTAAAACAGAACAAAAATTTCATGGGGAAAAAAACAATAGGTTTTCTCTCTGTAGAAGCGACAATCGCATAGTGATAAAGCACTTATCTCAAGACAAAAAACTAAAAGGTGATTCTTTGTTCATATTCTAAGAACCATTATTGCAATGAAAGAACTGATAGAAATAATTCTTACATAAATTGTGTGTAGTATGTTACCCAAAATTTTAAAAAAGTTGTCAGTGAGTTCAGATATTGAAAGTATTTGAAAACACATCTGAATAGTAGTAGTAGCTTTCAGATTAATTCTGCTGTTCATACTTCATTTAGCTTTAATATATATTAATAACTGGAACTTGTAAAAAATTATTTATTAAATTTTCCTCTCCTAGCAATAGCCTGTAAATTTGCAGCTCCTCCCCACACGGTTCCTAAAAGATCTCTTTCGTTCTGTAATGCCTCCTCTAAATACAGCTCTTTGCCCGAACAAACAGATTTTTTCAAAGCTCTAATGACTTCTGGTGGCCCATTAACAAACTGTGTCAGCCACGCTTGGGCCTCTTCGAGAGATTTCATTTCATCTGAAGACTGCAAGATCTCTTCGACCATTCCTATATTTAAAGCTTTCTTTGGATCCAGTTTGAGGGCCCCACCTAACACTTTGAGAGCTTCTCTACTGCCTATGATTTCAACCAGTCGGCTGGTACCACCCCAGCTTGGAATTATTCCCATCTCCTTGTGGACAAATCTGATCTCACTCTCTGGAGTCATTAACCTGTAAAAGAAAAGAAAAAATTTTAACTACATATGTATGCTTATGATCATGGAGTACTACCTGTTCATAATCTAGGAAAGAGCCACTGATCCTTTTAGGTGACAGTACTGAAAAGTGAAACATCAAAAAAATGGCTGTTCCATCTAGAATTTAATTTACCACATGGTACTTAACACCTCTTTGAAAACAATTTTGTTGTGCTTGCTTATCCTTTCCTTTGCAAATAAGAACCTAGTCTTCATATTTCTAAATCCCCAAATTTTCTAATTAAAAAAAAAATGGATCAGGTGAAAGTACTGGCATAGGAAATATGTAGATCATCATAGTCCTCAGGGGAAGCTATCTTTTGCTCCGTATCTATATAGCAACTATTTACTGAACACTGTCAATGCTAGGTAGTGTTCTGGGTGCTGAGACCACAAGAACCACCAAAATAAGATCCTTAGGCATGGAACTTACATACCAGTTTGGAGAGAGGCACTAAACAATGTCCGTGGTTAAGTGTTACAGAGAAAAACATGGGGCAAAGACTAATGAATGAAGATGTGTGCTTTGACCATGTGCTGTTTAAATGGAGAAGGCCTCTGAATATTTCAGCAGCTACATAAGGGTGTGAACAATGCAAAAATCTGGGGAGAAAGTGTTCCAGGAAGAATGAATTCCAAGTGCAGAGGCCTTCAAGTAGAACTGTTTAGTATTTCTGGGGACCAGAGGAAGCAAAGCAATGGGAGATGAAATCAGGGGGGCAGACTTACAAGCCTCAGTAACAAGTTCCAATTTCATTCTCAATGAAGTTATTCGAGGTCAACCAAGAGATTCCCATGTGATACAAGGGTTGCTCTGGTTGTTATATGAAGACTTTAGCATTTAATAGCACTAATACCAATTATTTAAGAAGCTATTAACTAATCATCAGATGAACCATATGAGGTCTACTAGTATTAGCCTCATTTTATAGATGGGGAAACGAAGAAAAAGAAGTAGCTCATTAGAGGCCGTATAGGTATGGCAAAGGCAGGACTTACACTCAGGCCATTTGGCTTCAATGTGTGTACTCCTAACCCAAGGCACACAGATATTTAGCTAGACAAGAATGAAAGCTGCAACCCTAGAAAGTTGGTAGTGGCTTGGCTCAGACTGACGGCAGTGATTTCCTATAGCATGTGCTCTTTTTTTCCAAGCTGTGGGATTTTTTTGAACAGAGTGACTAAAGTAGAATCAAAGGGACTTAAACCAAAGTGCTTCAGTTTACCAGTTAAATGTTTGTGTATTAAATGACTAAAGCTATATAGTATTTAGGAAATGCTGCCTATCAATGTGGTTTATTAACCAATTCATTTGTTCATTGCTCAGTACTGGGGACTGAACCCAGGGGCACTCTACCACTGAGCTACGTCTCCAGCCCTTTTTGTTTTAGTTTGTGACAGTATCTTAGATGCCCAGGCTGACCAGCCTGGAACTTATCCCCCTACCTCAGCCTCCATATTAGGATTACAGGCATGAACCAATGAACCAGCCTGAGTTGTTTTTTTTTCATTCCTTGCTTCAATGAAGCTTTCGGTATGTTAAAACTAATTTGGGCTACATGTCATGTCAGGACATTAGCTTTTTAGGAAAAACTGCTTTCAAAACTACTCATTACTAAAAAAGAAGACTTTTAGTTTGGCTTTCCAAAGTGTTACATATTCAACTGCAGGCAATTTACTTCTCTTAGCACCAAGAACAACAAACTGAGGTCTTTAGCTCTTCAATCAGGAGAAATCTCCAGTAGAGAATTCACATAAAAGCCTATTAACCCACTGGGAAATTCTGTCTTCATAGCTGTGAATTTCTACAAAGGAAAATATGCCATAACCATTAACAACTGCTTCTAGCAATAGCTATAAAAAGTCTCAATTTTAAAAAATGTTTAAATAGGGAGAAAGAAAGAACAAGTCTAATAAGAATCTGACTCTAGGCCTAAATTGCAAGTACTGCCTTCTAACAAAACAGGAAACTGTCAAAAATGTTAAGAAGGTGAAATTAAAGAAATAATGACCCGGGCCGGGGATTTAGCTCAGTGGTTTTGCCACCTGCTGCACAAGTGCAAGGACCTGAGTTCGATCCCCCTGGTACCAAAAAAAAAAAAAAAAAAGAAAGAAAGAAGATACTGGCAAATAAAATGCAGAAGATCATCAAGAAGATCATACACCCTGACCAAATGGGATTCATCCCAGGGATGAAGGGATAGTTCAACAAATGCAAATCAATAAGTGTACTATACTGTATGAATAGAGCCAAGGACAAAAACCATATGATCATCTCAATAGATGGGGAAAAAGCATTCAACAAAATCTAAAATGCATTTATGATAAAAACCCTACAAAAACTTGCAATAGACGCTCTACCTCAATCTGATAAAAACCATCTATGAAAAACATATCATACTAAATGGTCAAAAACTGAAATCCTTCAACTAAAATCAGGAACAAGACAAGGATGTCCACTATCACCACTCCTGTTCAATATAGT